ATGCTCCAAAATAAACAAGTTTATTTTTTCTAAACATATTTAATTTCATGAGGATTAAATCCTGTAATATGTACAAGCACCCTATTATTTCAGAGAGTTAATTTAGATTTTCATTAGTAGAACCTTGTATGAGACAGCCTGTGGGATTTTTCTTTTTCCTTTCCCTCAGATTGTGTACATTCTTGTGGTTACATGTTTCTGGCATATTATTTTATGTATGTCCCTTCAAATGTGTGTGAAAGCACATCCAGTGCTGACTATTTGCTTCATTCACATTGTGTTTATCAGTCATGCAGGCTGATCAATGGTGGAAGAAACTAGTGTCTCAGTTTTTAAGGAGAAGTTCCAGATTTTCCCTCTTATGTCGGCAGTAACATTTGCACAAAAATGACTGGGTGTTTTTATAATAACGCACAAAAATGCATGTACAAGTATTCTACAAAAATTAAAGTTTCATAGGTATTTCTTACCACAAAAATGTAGAAAGCCTTTTTAAATTCAGTCATGCTGTAAGACTTCTGGTGTGCTGATATAAGCAGTAGTGATGAGTTACAAGTGGAGTGTTTAGTTAATGATACTTTTGATACAAGATGTATGTAAAGTATCTGAAGGTTTTATATACAGTCAGTCCTCGTCGTACAACGTTTCAAGTTACAACGTTTATAAATTGATACCTTGTTTCAACTTTATGACATCAGTTTCAACTTTCCAATGCTTGATCTGATGCTGCGCCATGCCAGCGAACAAGTTCACTGTGTCACTCATCTCTCTGGAGAACATCTGTCCAAACTTCCTTGGACACTTTCTTTAAAAAAAGCAGACAAGCCTCCAGAAAAACCTGCAGCCAAGACTCCTGAGAAGACTCCAGCCAAGAACCCTTTAAAAAGTCCAACCAAGAGCCTTTCAAAAAATCCAGCAAAGTCACCTGAAACAAGTCCTTTCAAATCAATATAATTGCTATTTAAAATATAAATACGTTAGTATAGCTATATTACTCATCTATAATTGATTGAGTACAAAATTCTGGGGTATTTTTGGTGAAAATAGGGTATTGGGCCTTGGTTCAGGAACCAATCCCCCATTTTGTTTCTTCTGAGAAAATTGGTTCTGAGTTACAAGGCTTCAACTTGGCGTGGTTTTTAGGAACCAATTGTGCCATAAGTCCGAGAACTGCCTGTATAACTGAAGACATTAATATTTGATGAGGTGAGCTGGGAGTGCCAACTATGAATAACAGACAATTTTATTTTACTTTTTAAATCTTAGCACCACTTGTTTTATTTTAATGCTTATTAGCTTTCATCAATTAAGATGCATAAAATATGCAAGTCCTTGGATACATAACGAAGCTAAAAAATCTTAAGGGACAGACTGATAACACAAATGTGGTTCTCTCTCATCTAAAAATTGCTTATGATTTTATAGCCTTACCAGAAAGTCACAACTTAAGTAGGCTATGTAGGCTATGCTTGCAAAATTATAGCTTTTACAAGAAGCTATTATTTTATTTACTTTAATGTTATAGGAGAATATTCTTACCTTGGAGACAGTGATAATTGAAGAATATTCAAATTACTCTCCAAAATATTGGTCTATATAAAGACATTCTAATGTATCTCATTTTATTTTAAATCAGGTGCTGTGTCATCCTGAATTAATGAAAATGTAATATAAGAGGCTTGATTCTACGTTCCTTCAGTGATCCAAACTCTCAAGCCAAAATTTTAAAAAGTGAGTGCTTAAACTTAATCCATATTTAGGTATCTAAATAAGTAGATTGATAAAATTACTAAAAGTATTTTTGGTGTCTAAGGCCCCTGGCACATGTTTATTTAATGGTACCATGGGATCTGCTCCTTGGATCTAAACAAGCATGCCTCTTGCTATGCCACATACGTATGGCAGAAGCAGTGATGGAGATCTGATCTTCCTATTCACCAATTCTGGGAAATGTCTAAGATCATGAGGTTGAAAGCTGAGCCCAGGGCTGACAATCACCTGTTTTACTGTCCTGTGTCCCAGAACTGCTACACATTCAATTTCAAACATTTTCATAGCTGGCATGCCATATCATGGTGCCTTCAACTGTGTGCACAAGTAGCATCCTTGTCATTTATGCTGTGATGAACACATTAAACATGGCCTACATGTAACAAGTAGAGGGGGCCATAAGTATGAACAAAAAATATATTCCCTTAAAAGGATGGAGGAATTTACAAATGAATCTGCTGAAAATAGGAAATAATTTTATAAGAGAACTTATCATTGTAAATGGGCACTTAATTCAAAAAGAGTCAAATGAGCAACTTAGCAACAGGACTATGAAAAAGTCTACAACAATTTACCAAATCAAGATGGCTTTAAAAAAGAATTAGCTCAGAAAACCCTACAACTGACTATGGGAAATCTAACTAGGTGATTGGAAAGGTCTCCCTTTCTGGCCTTATAATCTATAAATTGTTGTTAGGAAGAATGACTGAGACTACCAAAAATCTGTACTAGGAGCTCTTTTGTGTGTGAAACATAAACCTGGGTGAAAGCAAAGTAGAAAGCATTGATTACTAGAGCTCATTAGCCTGTTTCAGATAATACCATAGCAGCCACAATAAAAGATACACGAAGTATAAATTGTGAAATTGACAAAAACACCAAGTACAGAGTTAATATTAATATAAATGTGTTAAAATTTGCATTCAGTCACTGGTTTCAGGTCATTCTGGTAAACCATGGTTGAGCATGGTTCCATAGTCCATGAGACTCACCAGAGGTCCTGCTTTGTTGGTTACAGCTGGTATGTAGCCTTATTCAACAGCTGAAGATAAAAGCTTTATCCAACTATTCAGGATTATAGAGCCTTGCTATCAGCTCTCCTCCAAGAACTCTCTCTCACAAACCAATTCTTCCCATTGATGAAAAAATTCTTCTATAAGGGCTAATTCGGTTTAAAAAACAGATCATCTCCCTCTTTTTTGGGCATTCGAATACTAATAATTGCTCCAGATATATTGGTTTATTTTCATTTTAATCATTTTATTTTACTGCCTTTAAAAATGAAGTATTAAATACTTGGCTCATCTTTCTTGGCTCTGTTTCTGAATCACAGCGCACACTCATAGTCAGCTACCTGGTAGATCTACACAATAGCACACAGGAAACATCGAACAAACCACATACATTATTAAAAACACTTTAATCTCAACTCATTATTTATCTGTTTAGAAAACATTAAATCAAACCCACCCCAATGTCGTGGAAGTGGTTTGGAATATAAAATACACTTCCAGTGTGACATAGTTCAGGATTTTCCAAAAATTCTGCAGAGCCCACCCCCTGCCTCGCCCCAACGTCAGTTTTAGTTTCTATCTTTAAATTCAGGGATTCTTGACCAATAACTAAACAGTTGATCAGATTCGCTGGGTAGGAGTAAATATATTATATTTTTGTGTAGTGGAAATTTTTTATTGGAAAGAATCTAGAATAAAAAAGGATAAAATCTTGATTTCGAGATGTACTTTATTTTGTAACGTGTGTGAGTATAATCAAAATTAAGAATATTCAGGGATAATCAACATTATTTTTATTCATTTAAAGTATAAGAGAATGTCAGGGTCTATCAAACAAACACATACAAAGAGACAGCCCTAGCCCTAAAGATTGTAAAGCTCAATACAGAAGAATAGATGAAAATTTGAGGATGAAGTTGAAATAATTGACTTTTTGATGACTGATAAAGGTTTGTTAGTTACTATTTCAGTTGCTGTTCTTCAAATTGAGAGTAGAAGTAGGGTCAAAGAAAAATGGCAGAAGTGAGGAAATAACCCTCCCTTCTCCTGTCCCTTCCTCCCCATGTTGGAGAGTCAATAGGCATGATACAGCACCACTGCCATCAATTACATGACTTCAGTGGACATTGGAACACAACCATTCTAGGTAAGGAAGGAGGAAAAGCAAAATGAAGCAAGCAGAGGTTCTCACTTTTTGACTTTGTGTGGTGCTTAACAACTAGGGAGACGATGATCTAATTGATTATGAATCTTATTACTTATTAGCTAAAGCAAGCCCCTTATATTACATACTCATTCATGCAGGAAGACACAGTGCTGGATTTAAAATAAAATGAGATAAATTAGAATGTGTTTATATACACCAATATTTTGGAGAGTAATTTGAATATTCTTCAATTATCAATGTCTCCAAGGTAAGAATATTCTCCTATAACATTAAAGTAAATAAAATAATAGCTTCTTGTAAAAGCTATAATCTTGCCAGCATTGTCTGCATAGCCTACTTAAGTTGTGACATTCTGGTAAGCCTATAAAACCATAAGCCATTTTTACATGAGAGAGAACCACATTTGTGTTATCAATCTGTCCCTGAAGATTTTTAGCTTTGTTATGTATCCAAGGACTTGCATATTTTATACATCTTAACTGATGAAAGCTTATAAGTATTACAAAAACACAAGTAGTGCTAACATTTATATGTTATCTTCTGAGAGAGGTCACAGCACAGTCCTCCAGCATCCCAGGGTGCTTTGCTCCTACCTCCCCCCACCCCTGAGGAAAACAGTATGTCACTCAGACAGTACTCTGCTTCAACCAAACATGGAGAAAAACATGTCCTTCACAATCCCTGCATTCTGCTTCAGGGAGACAACCTGGCAGGGCTCCCCTGCGCACTGCCATGCTGATGCTGAGCACTAACTACCCTGTGTGTTCAGTATCAACACTGCAAGTCCCCTGTTCTTCAAGGGCTCAGCATTTGTTTGTTCAGGCATCTCCAGGTAAGATTTTCTACCAGGAAAACAATCCTGGGACTATTCTCTCAGGTCATCTGAATGTATGTATGTAGACTTAGTCTCCACTTTCTCTTGATTAAGATCTAATTATACTTTTTAATTACTCATTCAGGGAAATTACTAATTTTTTTCCAAGGTCACAAAACTACCTTGAGTCTTCAGCTTAATATTGCTAACTTAACTTTGATTTGACTTGATCAACAATGGTTCAAAGCATTTTTTTGGGAGAGCCTATCTTATGAATTATCACAGAAAGCATCTCTGCTTCTTTGAAGGGCAAATATTTGATTTGTACATTTTCTCTTTTTTAGCTTAAAGAATAAGGGTATTTTACTTATTTATTTTATGTATACATTAGATTTATATGCTGCCTCTCCTCCCCCACCAAAAAGCTGAGGTCAGTTTACAATAAAAAACAAATAAATTATAAAAAGACAGACAAATATATTTAAACATATTTGAATAAAACATTATGTAATGGAACAAACTCCCCAGACAATGCCTCTCAGCAGTTGTAAGGCCTGCCCAATAAATAGGTCTTACTGTGCTTCTAGAAGACAAACTGAGACTTCAGAGTTTCTTTTTCACGCTTCCAGAGACTGACTAGGCATTTTACATCTTTTCGTCCCAGTTTCATTATCCCACATCTAGTAAACCAAACTGGAGCTAAGAATCCCATTAGTTTTAACCAAACATGCTTCATTCCTTCATAAGTACATCCACTTTACCACTCCTGGCTATGTTAGAAAAAGATATAATCATTATGCAAAACTCAGATCCAGTTTTGGGCCATTTAGATAAATGTTTTGATGCAGAGTATAAAATAATCCACTTGGACTAGCAGTAGTACTCAGGATACAATCAAAAGGCCTGTACTTTTTCAGTTCAAAATTTTTTGTAAAATATGAAGAACAGATAGGTCTTACAGGCTTCTCATTCCAGGATAGACTCAACTGCTGTCTAGGAGAGAGACTGATACTGCTGTATGCATGCAATATGCTAAAGACAAAGGAAAGTTACTGAAATAACTCCAATTTCTGGAAAGAGTTACGTTGCTTCTTTTGTATCTAAGCAGCTCATTTGGTTGAGCACAAAACCCTTAACCCACAG